GGGTTCGCGCCTGCCCCAGGCCCCGCGGCCCCCGGTGCCCACTCACCAGCGCACGAGCTGCCAGCGCTTCTCCCCCGGCGCCCGGCGGCCGGCCATGCTCTCGGTCGCCCGCCGCGGGCCGCACGGCGGAGGTGGCTCCGGCTGCCGCAGGCCAGGACCAAGGGCGTGCTCGCGGGCGCGGAGGGCGGGCGGGGCGGGCGCTAGGCGACTAGTCCCATTGCGGCCGTCGGCCCCGCCCCTGGAGCTGGGCTGCACCGCGCTGCTCTGCCGCGGCGGCCGGGACCACTACCTGGCCCTTCGCTGTCCAGCCGCTCAAAGGGCCTGGCTTCTTGCGAGCACTGGACGAGGAGCTAGTTCTCCAAGTTCTACTGTGATTTGCCCGGTTACTTGAGATTCGCTTAATCCATCTGTGCTTTCCTCGTTGTGACACTTGCTCTACCTACCCAGAAAGTTAGATAAAAGAGTTAACCTACTCTATAAATGCCTGAAATAAAAACGGATGTGCCCTACGGATTATTAAAATATGTTATAAAGTGCCAGTAATTAAAAGAGTATGACATTGGCCCTGATCACTCCCCAACCCTAGGACCAGCTCCACTCACGCCTTCAACCTACTTCCACCCCAGAGTGTTCATTCCTGGAGCTGAACAGAGACCAGCCTGGCCCGCACATGATGGGAGCATGTATCTCATGCCTGGTTTGAAGGAGCTGAGTTTTAGAAATGTTTATAAATATAGAGATTGTCTGCACATTGCACAACACCCTCCTAATTCAGCTGCCTCCCATCTCAGGACAACCCCCACCCTTTGCAGGAGGTAAACATGCAAAGAGGAGAAAACACTACCCTCAGTGTGGGGATTCTGGGAGTTTAATCTTCCTCTTGGGGACTGTGGGTCATGCCCAGGAGCACCGAAAATTTTTGCAGGGGAATCTAAATGTTGATATTTGTCCTATCCATAAGTGTTCATATCCTCCCCAGTGTTCAACAAAAATCAAGATTACATAAATCCAAGAATCCTCACGGAGCTTTTCACTACGTGCAAACAATGACAGGAAGCAATAGGGGATGAAGAATGTAATCAACACAGAAGCATCCTGTAAAAGAATGTGAGGAAGGAGATAGGGACAAGGTAGACTGGCAGATTGCCTTTGACCTTTAAGTGTAGTATCTAGTATGAGGCCAGCAACTGCCTTTGAGCAACCTTTCTCTAAGCTCCACAAACATAAATAACACAGAGACCAAGGAAACAGCATAGAAGGTCCAGAAACATCCTGAAAGTGGTGTGTATATGTGTGATACAGGTATGCAAAATTAGTGGAGGAAATGGTGATGGGACAATCAGTTAACTATTTATGGGAGGGAAAGGACAAGGTCTCTATTTCATATCACAAAATATATGTCAGATAAATTAACAATATATAAATAAGTGTATAAATATATATAAAGAATTAGAAAAAATATATAGGTAAGTATTGCCATTATATTAAAGTGGGGATAGATTTTAGGGACCATTTTGTTCAAATCAGGCATTTCACCACTAAGGAAGTGCAGCCTTGACCCAGTTTAGTCTTCCATTCAGAAGGTGAGGGGGCTAAGAGGCCTGTCACCAAAACCTCTGGTTAGAAAGGGGGTCTGGTGCCCACCAGTGCTGGAATGCTCAATGGGTAGCAGCCTGGCAGAGAACAGCAAATGTGACCCAAGCTGGTGAGGAAGATATGCCAAATATCTCATCCCTCCAGAACCTTTCCCCATCTTTCTATACCCTGCTTGTGCCTTGTGCAATGTCAATGGCTTCCCTTCACTTCCATCTTCTCATTGGGATTGGCTGATGGAGTAACCAGCAAGTGATTGAGAGACAGGAGGGGAATGAGGGGGAGGTATCTATTCCTCAGCTCCCTCCCTGCCAGGTCATTGTGGGTCAGTTATTTCCCTTTAGGAAAGCCACAGCCACTGCCCATCAGCCCCCTCCCCATAGCTATCATTTCTGAGTTCTCGTAATTGCCTTGCTCTCTTGTTGCTCCAGGCCTAGGGATGGTGACAGCTCTGCCTATCCCTGTCCTTAAACTCTGTCCATAGCTTTGTAAATAGTCCCTTAACTCTTTTCAAATGATCCATTTTAAATGCGCCATCTGTTCCCTGCCAGGACACTGACCCATATACAGAGCTGTTACTGAAACAGAAATCAAAAAGTTAGTATTCCAAGCTGTTGTGAAGAGATGGAGGCCTTTTAGGCCTTTTCTGCCACCCTATCTTTTCTGACCTCACTATCTTAGCTGGCATTCAAGGCTCTCACATTCTCAGAAAGCTCATGATCACTGTGGGTGCCTTCATCCACAGCTGAATTCATTTCCTCACTGAGAAACTTGATGAAACTCACCTGTATTCCTGACTGGGCAGGGATTTGAATCCTGGCTCCACTACTTACAACTGAGTGGTTTTAAATTCAACCTCTCTTGAGCCTCATTTTCTCCATCTGCAAAGGGAAATAAGTCTTTCCAATAAAATTTCTCCAAAGTTTAAATGAGATTACTTGGGTAAAGTGCTCTGCTCAAAATAAGTTAACTTCTGAGATGAGATGTACTTTTTATACACTTCAGTTTTCTTTGACTTCATTACGAGTTTAATTCTGAAAATTGTAACAGTGTTTAGTAGCACTCCTGGCACATAAAAAGTGCCTAATAAATGTTAGTTATTATAAACATCATCATCTCCATATTTTATAATATGTCTCCGGATCTCCCCACAACCTCAGATGGAATGCCATGCAGTCAGCTTTGCTCAATATTACTCTGCATATTAACTGAATGATTGTTAACCTCCTCCAGGGAAGTGCCCTAAGACTCCTTGCCCCCAAATCCAAGCCATAGCTCAGCTTTCAAGTAGTGATTTCTTAGCTAGCTCATCATTTTCAGTTGCTCCATAGGTGCTTTGCACACATCTTTCATTGCTTCATATGTGGATATTTTTCCAGCCAAAGATGTCCAAAGATTCCTGAGGGCACCCTGGAAACCAGACCTTTCATGCTGAGCTGGGAACTCGGCCCAGTGCAGTGCAGGACTCTACAAGAAGCACTTCTTGGGACAGAGCTAGAGCCCCCCATGAATGTTCAAGGCCACTCCTTGGACAGGTGCTGGTGTGGGCTTTTGCTGTAGCTGTGGGAAAAAAAGCAGAGTCCCAGGATCTGTCATAATACAGATCAAGAAGGAATACATTTGGGCCTTCATCTTAAGAATCCCATGTGCATGGCCCTTTTGAAGCCTTTTAATGCTTCCTCATGATGCCCTCACGATGATCCTGTTGGCAGGGTACGTGTTACTTTCCCCACTTTACTGAGGAAGAACTGGAACTCGAAGAAGTTGAGAGTTTCCCAGAATCACCCAATTAGTAAGTGACAGAGCTGGCATCAGAGCCCAGGTTTTTAGGCTCCTTCATACTACATGACTGAGGATATTAAACGTACCTTTCACCCTTCTCACCAATATCTAGTGAAATTGAGGGGTTGGTGTCTCAGAATTGATGGTTAACCAGGATCACTGATGAATGGGTGGTTCATCAGAACCGGTGGCCCTGCTGAGCTCTCACACACAGTGCATGGCCCAGGAACACTGCCCTAGGAGGCACAGCAAGAACTAAGAAGCAGGCTGGGCTGACCTTTTTGCTCCTCTCCCAGGGGTTTCCTCAGAGAAGACAGTGTGAAGAGGGGCCACCCACAGCACAGCTAGAAGCTGGAGTTCCTACAGAGTAGGATTTCAGATGCCTTTGAACAAAATTTTGAAGCTCACTCCCTGTCAAATGACTTAGGAGAATCATTTATTCAGCTTTTGAGGCTTCATATCTTCCAGGACCAGCTAAAGCCTTTTATCCATTGACACCCAAATCCAGTTAAGTCTTGAAAGTTGACTGGGGAGGGTAATGAGGAAAGGGATCCATAGAGAGAAGTCTGGGTACCCCAATGAGCTGCCAAAACCCCTCCAAGGCCCTCATGCCAGGGCCTCCCAGTTCTGTAGACAAAGGTAGAGGACTTCTCTGGATATTTGGCCCAGGAAAGCAGGGCTGGGAATATTTGACTGGCAGTGGAGTGTGCAATGCCAGATCAAGCCGCTAGTCTAAATCCCCTCAGCCCCTTCCTCCGGCCCCTGAAGGCAGGGACGGAAATGACTCACCCAGAGCTCTGAACCACCTGCCACACACAATGCCACCTGGTTCCTCGCCATTATTAACATTAACATCTAATGAGCACACAGTGCAATTTTAAGCACTTTACATATATTCATTTAATCCTCACAACAACCCGAAGATCTTAGGAGCTGCATTGACCATCCGTATCCCATTTTACAGATGAGGAGACCAAGGCCCAGGGAAGAGGAAAGCATTCCTAGGGCCAGAGTTAGAGGTCAAGAAGCGGAGCTCCAGAAGCCTCCCATGTGCAGTGAAAAGTGCACTCGTGTTCTGGACTTCAGAGTTATAAAAGATCTTCTCTTGGTTCTTGGCACCCTCACAAAGAGAGAAAGAGGGTGTCTTATCAACTGGGCCCCAGAGAGGTGATGCGACTCACCCAAGGTCACACAGTTAGTGAGAGGTCAGGGGCGGCTTTGCGGCAAACTAGATACAAGGTAGGTTTTCTGACCCCTGGTCAGCTCGCCTCCTACCCAACAGTTCCCTGGGCCAGCGGGAGCATTGTCTCTGGTTCCTACGCCAAGTGGTGGGCAGAGGGGCGGAGCGGATCGCGGCCTCCCGGCCTGGGCGCTGTCCACGGTGCTGATCCACCCGCCGCTCCCTGTCTCCCTAAGTGGCCGGCGGGTTCCCGAGGTTTCCCTTCCAGCTCCCAGCCAAAGCCAGCAGCGCGAGATCTGCTGCCCGCTGGGGTCCCTAGCCTGGCTCTCGGGGCTGCGGGGGTTCCTCCTCCCCCGACCGCGCGCCGCCAGCCTCCCCTCCCCCCGCCCCGCCCACAGCCCCTCCCCGCCAGTCCCAGGGCCCTCCCCTCCCCCCTTATCTCTCCCGCTCCCCTCCTCCCGGTCCCCCCTACAGCTCGTTCGCCAGTTCCGGTCACGTTGCTGGGTGTTTACGCCTGGAGCCCGCCCCGGACCCCCGCTGGGCTCCCCGGACCCCCCTGGAGCCCCGGCTCGACCGCCCCGCAGCCTCACAGCAGCTGATGGCGCCGCAACCGGGGCGGGCTCTGCGGAACCCCGGGCGCAGCTAGCGCAGGGAAGAGCGCCTCCCCCTACCCAGCCGGGCCGGACCGAGGGCCCCGCTGGCCCGTCGCTCCCTCAGGTCCCGAAGGTGAGGAGGCCGGTGGGCGTGGGGGCGGCCGCCGGGGGCCGGGGGGTGGGGAGCAGCGCGGCCCAAGCCCCAGCTCCCCCGAGAGGGCAGGAGCGGGGCTGGGCACCGCAGCGCACGGGAGGCGGACCGGACCCGCAAGCTGTTGGCAGAAGTTGTCCTCCACCGCCCAGACTCAGGCCGTTCCTGGCCCTGGAGGAGAGTCCAGAGCGGCCCGGCCTCCACCTCCCGCCACACACATCCTTCTGCTTGCCTTTCCCGGCGCTCCTTAGTACCTCTCTTCTCCTCCTTAGACTCCACATCTCCTACCTTCTCTGGGAGTCATATAGAAGCATAATCAGGTCAGGACATCGACGAAAGGGGCTGGGGGCTCCAGTTTCCTCATACGTCGTACAACGGCGTCCCTGGATCCTTAGCTTTGCTGAGATTGGAGGTGCTGGGATTGTCAGTGGAGTGGAGTAGCCAAAGCCTAGGGTATTGAGGGATGGGGGGAAGAGGGGCCCTGGAGTGGAGAAGGGCCACAAGACCCCTGGAAGGAGTGGCTCCAGCTCTGGCCAAGTAACCCCACCTTGCAGACATTTGTTAAGGGCTGACTGCTTGTTCCCAACTCAAGTCACCAGGACTTGATGGGAGGGCCGGGGGAAGTAATAATTTTTTAATACATGCACATACTTGCCCTGGTGATTACCAATAACATTCAACTCATTCTCCCTGTTTCACCAACATTCCTTGTTCAACTGTTCCATGCAAGGGATTCCCAGGGACAAAGTCCTGCCCTCAAGAAGCAAAAGGCTTAGAGCAGAAGCCAAGGGCATGTGCGCCCATGTGCATGTGCGCGCGCACACACACACACACACACACAAAACCAAGTATGATTCGTGGCAGAATGCCTGGACAGCACAGAGGCAGGAGACAGTCATTCCATTTTTGTAAGGTCAGGGAAAACTAATGGGAAAGGTAGCATTTGAGTAGGTCCTTGAAGAAAGAGTGAAGTTTCAGGATGCAGAGGCAGGTGGAGGATAGTGAGTGAGGGGATAAATGGGTAGAGTTTGCTGTGAGAGCAGGAGATCAGACTGCAAGTGAGGACTGCATTGAGATTGGGAAGGGCCTTCAATACCAGGGTGAGCCCCCAGTGGAGTGCTCCTAGCTGCCAGGCACTGAGTTGTGCATACTGAGCAAGCTACTTAACCCTTCTGACATTTTGTTTCCTCATCTGTGGAACAGACATACTAATAGAATCTACAATGTAGGGTTGTTATAAAGATAAATGAGTTAATATATGGAAAACGCTAAGAACAGCACCAATTATTTGTGACTATATGTAAGTATTGATGATGGTTATAAGTATTATTACCTGTGCATCCATATCTGAGGAAGACTTATTGAGTTCCTGCTCTCCCCCCTACCCTGGGCCTCAAAGTCAGGTAGTGAAGAGGAATAATGACTAAGAAAAATAAAGAACATATTAATTCATTTATTTATTCATTTATTGCCATACCTGTCTTATCTGTTTGTCCTAGCTATGATAAAAATAAGTTTAACATTCTCCTTGAAGTAAAAAGGCATATTTAAAGAATTTGTAACAAAATGTTGGTATACAGTATTCAAAACAGTGCAAGGTTATTTGTTGACTCCATAAATATATTTGGTCCCAAAGAGAAAAGAAACACTCAGAATGACATTGAAACTGGAACAAGAGAAGTGGTCAGGGGGAGAGGGGTGACAGACAGTGCAAACTCCACACAAGCAGAAAGCAAGAGGCTTTAGTTCTGGTTCCTCTCCCAGCCACTTGTCTGTCTGAGGGAGAGATGGGGACAGCAGAGGCCAGGGGACAATGAGCAGACTAAAGAAGAGGGAACAGTTAGCCACCCAAGGAAAGGTTGGGCTATAGAGATGATTTTCAAACTTTTGGTTATCAGCAGCTTTTCTCCAGTGACTTTGTACAAAGAAGCCCATCTTTTAAAAGAGGAGTAAAAATAGCAAGGCCTCCAGCCCTGCCTTTTGCCCCCAACCCTTTTGGCAATATCTGAGACCCCACTGCAGAACTCTGAGACTCTAGGAACAAAATTTGAAAACCACTGATTGAGTTGATTTTGAAGGTTCCTCTGGGTGCTGTGATTCCATCCTTTCTGTGGTTCTTCCTACCCAGAGAATTATAAGGACTGGAGAGGACTAGAACTACAGTTTCCTACTTGCCACATCACTTACAGGAAGATCGCTGGGAAGGCAAGTGGGGACCCAGAAGCTCCAAAGAGACAAGAAGGCGACAAGGTCATTTTCAGAGATCAGGAGCCCAGACCTTAGAAATCCAGAACTGTGCCTGGGCCAGAGGGTTCCTGAGCCTGACACTTTGTGGTTGGAGACCTGAGCATGGGCAGCTTCTCTCACCAACTTCCCCAAGGGGAAAAAAATACTTGTAATTTTCAGACAGATGAGAAATATGTTGACAGTACTTGGAATTAACTCTATAAATTGTGACCCCTGTGTTACAGGTCCTTTCTTATTTTTTATGTCAGTTTTTTTAAATGAACATTTTTATCAAGCTAGAAAATTAGAACAAAGAACTAGCAGCATCCGGAGAAGTTAGGCAGCAGAAACAATACAAGCCTAGAGGTGGTCAGGACAGGAGACAGAGGCAGAGGACCCTTGTCACTTTAACCTGTGAGGTTGGATGGAGTCCTCAGGCACAAGCTTCCAAAGATGGAAGATTCCAGAACTGCATTTCTGTGTAAAAATCTGACATTTTCTGGGCTTGGGCCTTGTGAAGTATGTGTGACTCCCCAGCCACACAGAGATCTGTGTTGTCCCTGGTTGCCCCATCCCCACTCCATCTCCTGCCCTCCCCCAAACAAACTAAACAATAATGTCTAAGAAAGAATATTTGCCAAGATCCTTTGTGACCCAAATTTCTGCCCTGAGAACAGCACCCTGCCTAGTTGGAAACAAATCGTCAAGTCCTTCTGGGCAGACACAGAAACAGCTGGTTGGCTCAGCCTCTCACAGTGGCCAGGGCCAGTCTCCAGGGCTGTGTGGAAAGGGCTTTTATTCTTCAGAAACATTTGCATTTGCATTTCAGTAGCTGGAAACAGACATTTTATCTTATTTGTAAGCCCAGGCCCACATGCCTTCATCTTTTAGGTGCACACATAGACACAGAGATGTGAGAGAAGCAAGAACCATGCCCCCCACTACGAACATATACATGTGCTCCTTGCAGCGCACACACAGGTTCAGATACATGTGCGGACACACACATCCCAATGTAGACAACAGCAGACATAGCTCATCTGTCTCTCCTAAGATATAGACACTGAGTTGCCAGTATATTCGACGGCCCGCCTGACATCTATTTCTCCTTGTTTTGAGGTTTCTTGAACATGTCAAATCTAATATGTCTCAGGCTTGATCTTACCTTTTCTGTAAATCTGCTTCGCTTCTTGATCCATCTTCCCCAGTTCCACAAATTCACTCTCTCAAGCATTCTACACATATCTGCTGAGTATCTCCTATTTGCCAGATACTGTGATAGGTCCTAGGGAACACAAGGAAACAAAACAGAGTCCTTCATCTGGTGTTGCCAACAATCTGGCAAGGGAAACAGTAAACAAAAATGTAGTATATTCATGTGATGATGAGTTCATGGCAGAAAAACAATGCAGATTAAAGGAGTGGAGAGTCACAGAGGGTTCTCTTTTAGATCAGGTAATCAGAGAAGGGCCCTGAGGAGGTGACATTTGAGCAGAGTTCTGAATGGAAGGAAGGAATGGGCCATGAGGGTATCTTGGAGGGCATTCCTGGCCAATACCTTACACTTCAGTCCTCAGCAGCAGCAGCAGTGTCCCCATTCCTCAAAAAGAACATGTGAAGCCCTTAGCACAAGACTTGGCAAATAGTAGGCACTCAGTCAATGTAAGCTGTCATTATTATCTTACCTCTGGGCCTTCACAAATGCTGTTCCCTATTTGGAATCTTACTGCCTTTATTCTTCTGACTTATACTCCTCCTTCGATTCTGTATTAGTTTTTGCTTACTGCATAACAAAGTAACACAAACTAAGTGGCTTAAAAGAACATAAATTTATTATCTTGCTGTTTCTAAGGATCAGGAGTCTGGCATGTTTTAACTGGATCCTCTGCTCAGGGTCTCACAAGGTCAAAATCAAGGCTGGCTGTATCCTCATCCAAAGGCTCAGCTAGGGAAAGATTTGTTTTCAAGATAAGATCCCTTAGGTCATTGGTAGGATTTACTTCCTTGTAGTTGAAGATCTTCTGGTTTTGCTATCAGCCAAGAACCATCCTCAGCTTCTAGAGGTCTCTCTCAGGTCTGTGCCATGTGGCTTCCCCTCTGGGCTTACTCAGAGGGCACTTTCCTCCTTCAAACAGAATTTCTCTCAAGCTGCAGATCTCTTCCCTCCTAAGCCCTTTCAATTGACCCTCCCAGAATTATCTCCCTCTTGATTAATTCAGAGTCAGCTGATCGGTGATCTTGATGATTTATCTGCAAAATGCCTCCATCTGTGTCATACAACCTAATCACAGGAGTGAAATCCATCATATTCACAGTCCCACCCCCACTCAAGGAAAGGGCTTAGGAGGGTGAGTACACCAGGGGCTGGGAAACATGGGGGCCCATCTTAGAATTCTGCCTGACCCAAGGTCTTGGCTTGAAATCACTTCCTTGAAGAGATCTTCTCTGACCACAAGTCTAAAATAGGTCCCACTTTATCTTTCTTTCACATTACCCTGTAGGTTACTTTCATGGTGCTTATCATGGGCTGCAACTGTATACTTATTTTATTATTTGCTTATTTGATGCATTTATTTATTTGTCTGATTCTCTCTGTCCCGTGAGCTCCATGAAAGCAAGGATTTTGTTTTGTTCATTACTGTCTCCTGAACCCAGCATAGAGGCTGGCTGGCAATAGTATATAATTGAATGAATGAATGATGAACAAATGAGAAAATCAAGAAAAAGATTCCCCTACTCACACATTAAACAGAGAAGGGATGTAGCATTGAGCCAAGTCCTTTGCTAAGTGCTCTATACTCTTTTTAAATCTCATTTAATTCTCACGACTATCCTATGACTGTTACTATTAGTAGCTTCATTAATGAGAGGGGGAAAAAGGTTCAGAGAAGTTAACTTTCTCACCCAAAGTCACACAGCAGGTAACTGAAAGGATTTGAACCCAGCACTGTTCTCAGTGTAAATCCTGGGAACGTACTTTGGATTCAAAAGGCTTTGGGGAATTGGGTCTGCCACCACTTACCACGTGAATGCACACAAGTCACATCAGCTCTGAATCTCAGTTTCTTGATATGTGAAGTGGGGGTTGATAAAACCTACTGAAGAGTTGTTGCCAGAAATAAGAGAATGTGCATAAAGTGCCTTAAACATAGCAGATAGTTGGTAAATGTAGCCAGTGATTCCCACAGGCCAAGGGCCACCCCTGCTGAGATGAAGGCCTGTGTGTTGGATCAGGGGAGTGTAAGGGAATGGGGCCCAGAGAAAGCAACCTATGAATGTGAGGTTCTCAGGTGGACCTGCTTGGTGGACCCTACTAGCGAAAATCTACATTTGCAGAGCCTCCATGGAAGTCAATCTGGAGGGAACTATTTGCTGAACAGAGCAGTCCATCAGCTGGCCTCCCTTTCCACTGCCCAGGGAAGGTGGAGGCACGTCCTTCAAAAGCTTAAGGAGTCCCTAGTGGAGAAGGCATGAGCTCTGAGTCCTGAGTTCCAGAGGCCTTGGCCTCCACTACCCTCTGCCCCCTGCTTTTCCCTCAGCCTATGCTTTTCCAAGATACTGGTCATCACATGTGTAAATAAATGCATCAAAAGGAAAGGGCAGAGCCGGAAGAGGGAGAGCTGAAAAGCTAAGCCATGGTTAGGATTTAGTATGCGAGCTTCCCCCTCCCACCACAGTGTCTTAAAGTTCCCACCATGGATTCACTGCACAGGTCTCCTTATCACCCTCCTCCATTCCTCTTTTAAAAAGGGACTCTGCCACCTGACTTCAGCCCACAGAGTCTATGTTAGTAAAAGATTTACCAGCTGTTTCTCCTCTGTGACCTGGAGGAGCTCGGAGTCCTGGGCTGAGGTTAAGTCAGAGAAATGGAGTTGAGCTGGGGAAAGGTTGCTGCCCTGCCAGTGGACGGTCACCCTTGAGCTGGATTGCTTGCAGGGCAGGTTCTTCCATTCCACATCTCCCCACTTTAGCCACAAGAACACCAAGAGCCAGAGAGAGAGAGGGCTTGCCCAAAGTCACACAGCCGGCTAAGAAGCAGGCTAGAGCCCATCTCTATAATGACTTTGCCACTCCATTTGTTCTCCTCTCTGAGAAGGAGAAGAAGCTAAAGTTACATGGGGGCAGAGGAGTGAAGCTATTTCCCTCTGGGCCTCTGGTTCTTCATCTGTTAAATGGGAATAAGTATACTTTCCTGCCAACACACTCACTTGTCATGAAGCTTTGTTGAATAAATGCAGAGGAAATTACTGCAGAATTGTACCTGGTGTCACAAGCCCCCAGATCAGAGGAGACTAGGAGGGATCTGAGGGTGGGCAGGGCAGATAGGCCCAGAAGATATGGGTTCACCTTGTCATCCCTCCCAGGTAGGGCCCAGGTTTGGGTTGCCATGGATACCGTGTCCCTGGAGCATCAGATCCAGAGCGTTCAACGCCACATCAGCTTCCTGAAAAAGGAGCAGATGGCCCTGCTGCGAGACCTGCACCTGGAAATACTGAGGCTGCAGAAACGCTGCTCAGGTGAGGCCAGGAGGGGTGGCTGGGGGATGGGGGCAACTGTCACCATAATCAGCGTCTCTGATAGGGCGCCAGCCGTGAGCCTCTGTAAGCCTCACAACGGTCCTGCCAGGCAGGTGTTCATCACCTCTTTTCTGGATGAAGAAACAGAATCTTGGGGAGGTGTAAAATACGAGTTTCAGGGCAAAGGGCTCAAGTTCAGCAGAGGGGAGCCTAGGAATCATTCCTGGGGATTGTTGTCCTTTTCTACTAAATGTTCATCAAGCACCTTCTAGCCCTAAGAAGGCCTCAGTCTAGCTGGGAAGACACATGTATACCAACAGGTAATTTTAAGATACACAGAAAATAAAGAGGGCCAACGGGAGTTCACGGGCAGGATCATGTCCAGCTTGCGGCATTAGTGATGAAGGAGAGCGAGCATTCCAGGCCCCCCCAAGGAGGGAGCATTTCTACTCCCTGAAGCCAAGATTTACATATGTGAGATATTAGAGGGGAATGCAGGTGGAGAAAGCACTCCAAACGAAAGGAATAGTGTGGTAAAGTCCAGAAGGAAACCAAAAGCTCAGGAAAAGTCCTGTTTCACTGGAGAAAGCTGCACTTAAACCCAAAGCCAGATCATGGAAGATGCTGAGACATTTCAGGACAGCTAAGAAGTGTGGCCTGTCCTCCCAGGTACTGGGGAGCCACTGAAAGCTTTTGAGCAGCAGCATGCTACATTTACAGACTCAACTTGTATGGAAAATGAATTAGTGGGAGAGGGAGACAGCGGGACTAGTGATGGGGCTGTGAAATGGTCCAGGGGAGAGGTGACAGGGGACAGAAAGGGAAGACCAGAGGGAGGCAGATTGAAGGGAAGAACTTGGCAAGCAATTGGATTTGTGAGCAAAATGGAAGTGCTAAATCCTAGGCCTGACCTCCACCCTTGGACCTCAGGCTTGAGCTGCCTGGCCCTCTCAGAGGCTGGGCTCTGACCCAAGCGCTCACACAGGCCATCTCCAAGTACAGGCTTTAGAGCCAGTGATTCACAGAATGTCTCAGCTGGAACTGCCCAACCACTTCATTGTACACATAGGTAAACTGAGGCTCAGAGAAAGTCACACAGAATGTTAGTGGCACAGACAAGATGAGAACCCCTTAGAGGTATAGACTTCCTGTTGGGAATGCCTTCTCAGCTTTCTGCCCTGTCTCCTAGTTTCCACCCTCCCTCCAGTCCCTGCTTATGGGAGGCTCCCCACTCCACTATGGGAGACTGAGGCCCAGAGGGTTTGAGTGATCTGCCTGGCTTCTCACTCTGTAGCATGAGAAGCTGGTAGTCCTGACTCTCAGCCACCACAGCCTCCTCCTGTTCCATATACAGGTTTAGCTACCATTCTCCAAGGCCACCTCCCTGCAAACTGCCCCAAGGCCTGGATGGCAGCAGAGGCCAGCCCACAGGCAGGGATGGCCAATGCCAACTCACCCCTGCCTGACGCCATATTTTCATTGCAATAACAACAATAAAGGAAAATCGAGGCAAGTGAGCCCAAAGACCCTACAGCTCTCCCTCTGATCTCTTTCTGCTCTCCCTAATTCTGAAGGCCTGGCTCCTCCCTCAGGGGACACAGGCCAGGATCCCAAGAAGTGTAATAGGCAGGAACAGAGGGCCCTCGGCCCCCATCACCCTTCTCAGCTGGGTATGGGCCTGCAGCCTCCTGGTTATTGATTAAGGAGATAAAAATAACTTTGAGCTGGCCTGGAGCCGCCACCCTTGGGGCTAAAATGACTGAATAAGGCCCTCCCTCCAAGGGGTTGAAGAGTGAGGAGAAGAAGGGAGCAGAACAAGGAGAATTAAAAAAAAAAAAAAA